CCTGTAGAAAAGAGCAGCATTTTGCTTCAGTAGTTCTTCCAAACTTACTTTGTGTTGAATTTGGAGATTTTATGCACTAGAGAAACGTGGATGCCCTTCTACATAGGATGTAACAATGATTGAAGGTTTCCTAGGAAACATGGAAGATGGGATATATGCAACGAATGCACACAAACTGGATTCATTCATGCTTTAGAAGTCTTTATTTCATTGAAAGACAGAATATTTGCTAAAAAAGAAACAAAGTTTACATTCATAATTAACAGGATGAGAAACTTGATGCATTTTAATAGAATTTGGGTACATTTCTAACTCATTAAAGGTATTTCATCCAAGGTGTGCAAGTCAAGCAGACATTCTGGAATTAATGATCCATTCTCCCTTTTTTTAAAATTAGAATTTGTTAGAAAGTAGAAGGGGATTTAAGTCTTGCTTTTTTAGAAGCAAAACTGTACTTGTAGTTTGTGTAAGGAAATAAGGTGTAAAACCTTTTTATTTGATATTTAATTTTTGCAATTTTGCAGGCTATTTCTTATATTCTGCTGTAATGTTTTTGATTAATTTACCGAATATATAGTTTAAACTTAGTGTTTCTTATTTAATGGTGCCTGCTAAGTTTATGAATTGAGGAAAAATATATTTAGTTGGATTTCTTCCCATGAAATAACATTTCAATTAGTTCAGCTCATGCTACGCTTTCTATTCTTATAATATTTTAAAGTGTGAAATATCTTTAATGTTAAATGTTTCAGAATCTGATGCCTGATTTCAACATTGCAACTTCAGTAGCTTCATGAATGTTGTGTAATTCAGTGCAGAGGAGGCTTAGAGTGCTGCTTAAAATGCAAATAAGACATAATGGAGACTACTACCTCGTTCAGTGAAGTAAGCCTTAGTACAGGCTTTGTAGTAAAGGTACTAGCAATGGGTTTGTTCCCCATTAGGGTACATAACCTTCTCTTTTCAGAGGTGTTTTCAGAAAGAGCCTGTATTCAAGCTTCATACCACAGACCAGTGCAGTAAAAAGTTAATTCTTTTGAACTTCTAAAATGCTGGTAATAATTGTAGAAAGCCAAGCTACAGATTTATAATGATTCTACAAATAAATCATAGATAATTTAAATGGCATTTATGTGATCATATCTATAGCAGATGGAGCATTTTAGAGAGAAAAGGGACTCATCTGGAAATACATGAAACTGTAGTGTGAATCACATGGTTGAGTTCTCCTGCAGTCACTGAGTGTCATTGAGGCTCCATAGACAGATAAAGATTCATTTGCAAGTGTCATTCTTCAGACTTCAGACGCTGTACAGTCTTCGATGTTTTTTTTACTAGCTTCAGTTTGGAAGATGGACTATTGTTTAGGCTTGTACATGTTTCCATCAGTGATTTTATTTATATATGTATATAAAAATTACTTTTTTCCCCACTGAAAGACAGCAGATGACATTGTAAATTCTTCAGTTAGAGAAAGGAAATTATAAATATCCTACTTAGTATATAAAAAGCAATATCAAAGCATAGAAAAATGTTTTAAAACAAGTGTTAAGGGGAAAAAGATTGTCCAGGCCTTGTAAATTCC